CAGCATTTTCCATTCTCATTATTATAAAGTTCAACTCTTTGTCTTCTATTTTCCAGATAGGACTTAACCATATTTTTATTTTACCACCAATGCCATATGTTGCTACTTTACTCAAAAGAATATCATGACTGACACAGTCAAATGCTTTTGTCAAATCACAAAAAATTCCTAATGAATGATTGCGTCTTTCCAATGTTTCTAANAGTCTGCTTTTACCGGTTCTCATGGTCTCTTTGCTTGCAGATTTCTTATATATTTTTTCTTCTACCCTGAAGATGGAGGCGATACGTTCCTCCGAAACGTCGGTTAACACCACATATACACGGTGCCAAATCCCAGAAGACTGCTTTCTTCATATTGGTCTATAAGATTGCCATAATTGCCCTCTCACCTGTTTTGTATATATGTCTTAATGAGGCAAATTTTATTCTATCATGATATATTCCATTCTCAAAAGATGCATTAAATATGTGACACAATGGTTTACTTATCTCAGTTATACAGTATTTCAATATCTTACTAGAAATGCCATCATATCCTGTAGAATCTTGTGATTTTTGCAACATAAGTATGCTCCTTATTTCCACCTCCGTTGTGGGTATTAGCCTCAGTTCAGGGAATTTATCAAATTTCAAAGTGTCTAAGAATTTAACAGCTTCATTTTTATTGGCACTTTTCGTTTCGGTATTAGCCGCTACAGTTATATTTATTGAATATTTATTGAATACTTCTACTACTTCCTTAGTATTAGTTACTTTGCTTTTCCCCACTTTCAGTTCTGTTATATTATCTGCGCCCCTCCTTTTCCTAGTTTTATTATTAATCTTCCAGGTTAATTGTATTTTGTTTTCTGAGTTACTTATAAGTTTTTGGTAGTACAATTTCTTAGCTTCTTTTATTACTTTCGTTAATGTCATACAGTACTTTTTATAGTATGATTCCAATCTTTCATCCTTTGATTTTTTAACTAAATTGTATAAAGCTCTTTTTATGATTACAAGATGTTTGTATACCTTTGGTTTTCCATTTGTTGGTGTCTTTCTTTTTCTTCTTTTTTGTACACCAGGGGAAAGGCGTTTTCTAAAATTAAGAAGGTATTATGAAATTTATTTAATTTCATATTAACGTTCTCTTGATCATAAATTGCTTCCCAGTTTTCATTTTGTAATGCCCGTTGGAAATATGCTATGTTCTCATCATTGATATTCCTAAATGATCTTACATGGTCCCTTTACCTTATCACTTGTAAATTTTCAAGTACTAAGATTTGCACATCATGGTCTGAAAACCCATTTATTGCGGAATGGGTTTGAAATTTATTGAAGACATTCTTATCTGAGAAGAAATGATCTATGAGTGTGACAGAAGTGGGACCTATTCTAGTCAGTCAATTATTTGAGCTAGATTATAAGTATCTAATAAGGATTGTAACTGTATTTTCTTTTATGAAATTTTGGGGATCATCAGTGTGGGTTTCGACGTAACAGATCAAATCTTTTGCATTCATCAGATATTGGAGAAAAAATGGGAGTATGATGAGACAGTACATCAGCTATTCATAGACTTCAAGAAAGCCTACGATTCAGTTAGGAGGGAAGTATTGTACAATATTCTGATAGAGTTTGGGATACCCATGAAACTAGTTAGGTTGATTAAAATGTGTTTAAACGAAACGTATAGTAAAGTCCGTGTAGGTAAACATTTGTCTGATAAATTTCCTATCCAGAATGGTCTAAAACAAGGAGATGCTTTATCGCCACTCCTTTTCAACTTTGCCTTAGAATATGCAATTAGGAAGGTCCAGGGAAACCAGGTGGGACTGAAATTAAACGGGACACATCAGCTGTTGGTCTACGCCGATGATGTGAATCTACTGGGTGA